AAAAAAAAAAAGGCATGCTGAACTTAGCTTATAAAAACACTCAATGAATTCTGGAACAGGGTGGATCTGTGTTTTAATGCCACTACCACGTTGCTCTATTCTGGGAGGTTGTTGTGAATTCTGTGGTCGAGTGGAGAGCAACAACCACAGCTAGGACGGGACGCCCTGACAGGGTGGCTCTGTGTGTGTGTGAGAATGTGTATATATATATATAAATATATGTGCGTGTGTCCGTGTGTGAATGTGTGTGGGCGGTAGTGAGAGTGTGTGTATGTGTGAGTGGGTTAAAGCATGCCTTTCATTTCATGAAACAACAAAACAGAAATCTCCTGAGAACTGACTGCTCTTCCTTTGAACCCAGCATTTCCTGCGTACAACAACAATCCTCCCTCTCCCTCACACAGACACACTCCATGCCATTTCCATCACCCTGAAGTCTAAAAGGTAAGTTTAGCTTCGAAAGTGTCATAACTTGGATTGAAGTCCCACTCCTATAGAAACACCCATAACATGTAGCGGTGACTGTGCGTGGATGTTATTGCGATCACGCTGTAGCCACTCACTAACATGCACAACAGGCCCTGTCAAGGGGGGTTGATAACCAAGAGAGAGAAAAAAAGGGTGCATGTGTTCATGTAAATGTAAAAGAGAAAGAACGCACTGCAAGCTGGGAAAATGATAAGGAAATAAAGTTGGATGAATACTAGTCTCGTGAGTCACGTAAAGACCACTGAGGCATCACAACAGTACCTTCGCCATCACAGATGTTCTGGTACGAGTCCCAGCGAGTTAGAGGATCTGCTGTGTTGTAGTCCACAATAACATCTCCTCCATTTTTCCACTTGTCAGCACCTGGAATAAAAAAAAAAAAAAAACAAACAAACACACACATTACTGTCCAGTTTGCATGCTATGTTAAGCTAGATGGCTGTAGTGTCATATATATCGTAAAATGACTGGAAAGTAGCACTGACCATTCTCATTAATCTGATAGCAGGAAAGCCATGTCATTTCTGAACATTTTTATTTTTAAATTTTAAAGAAACTATTTTATTTTTTTTGTGGGATGACTACAAACTAAGATAAAATAAAATTAAGGTTTTTATTTAAGACCCCAAATCATCAGCAAAAATATTATTGGTAGCTCTTTCTATTACAGCTTGGTAACCTTGGTAGCATATGTAACTTCAAACAAGCTGAATGCTATTACAAATGAAAACGCAAATTCATATTCAGAGAAATTGTTTTATTATTAAAAGACAGCTAAGCTGAGCTGTCATAAGGTCAGGATGTTAAAGGGTGCTCTTTTTTTTTTCTTGCATTTACTCCAATCTTGTCAGAACCATGGCCTGTATTCTATTAGTGTAGCAACAAATAATCTGTATAGCATAAACCCACGCTTGAGTCATTATTATTTATTTACATCTAGCAAATACTGACATAGTTTTGGAGTCCTAGGTTTAAATGCAGGAAACATTACTAAAAATGTGAAGTTTTGTATTTTACACTCATGATTGCTGGTTATTACACATAAACTACTGCTCATTGTCCACGTCATTAGCCACAGCAGCAAAAACAATATTTAAACTGCTACCTTAGAGGAGAAACAAAGCACAATCAACTAATATTAGTATTCAGTATATTTCAGTATATAAAAATTCATATGCTCAGATGTTACTATGTTATTGCTAGAATGTGATTATATTGTTATTATATAACTTATGGCTCTATTTTATTACTAAGTAGTGCTGTCAACCAATGCACAGTTTGTTTCCACACTTCTTTCCTAATTATGTAAATATCAGTTTAATATTACTCAAGTATAACCACTGTTGACAGAACATATTACCTAGTTATTACTACGTATAGTTGGTATTTAAGTGTTAATAATTTGCTATTTCCATATTATTACCTTCTTATTACCCCTCAGGAACCACATTATTACCAAGCTGTAATAGAAAGTGCCACCACAATATGGCTGATGACCAAAAGACTTAATCAGAAACAGAGCAGACAATAGAAATATATACATTTCATTGTATACCAGACCTGCACAGAGGCCCCACATAGTTTGTGGGGCCTCTGTTGCAGCTCATGCTGTGCTTCTTTGCCTCTCTGTCAGCACACACTTCACACTACATTTCCCTTCTCATCAGGGGGCAGAGGGAGAAGACCAGAGCACAGGACAGCACGTAAAAGTAGAAGAGAACATTGTATCTGGTTTTCAAATTTTCCTACTACTCCCTATAGTAATTTTAAATAAAGATAAAGAGTTAGAAGTCTACCTGGGATCTTCTCTGGTCCCTCGGAGAAAACCAGCTCCACTTTACCATAATCTGGAAATCTGGGATCTGAATTGACAGCACAAAGGAGAGAAGTGCATAAATGAGAGCCAGAACCAGCAAGATGAAAGTTGCTGTTAGTTTGCAGCTCTCTCGGTAATTGTAACATGTTTGGGGAAACCAAATTATTGGTCTAAAAGCAGCATGTCTAAATTAAGTTCAAGCTGAACCTCGCAGATGCTGTGCAGAGTAGAGGAGTTGCTGTTCATGGGATTTTTTTTCTAGGTCTACCTTTGTTGGCAGTCTCCATGTCCTCTTTTTCAAACATCAGGTTGTAACCCTGTACTGCTCCCGTGTGAAACTGCACCCGGAAAATAACCTCACGCTCTGAAGTCACCTCACTTTTATGATAGCATTTAATCTACAAGAGACAAAACAAACAAATTTCACGATGAATACAAAAGCACAAATTTCGCAACGTCTGAAAACGCAGTTTGTTGTTTTTTTCCCTACCATGATGTCCCCTTTTAGGAGCTGCGCAGGCTCCAGCATGATGCATACACGGTCTCTGTGGCCTGGACCAATGTGACTTAAACAAAAACAACAGAGAAGTCTGTCGCATGGAGCCAGAGTGTGGAAGCAATTACAGATATTTACAGAAAGCAATAACTAATTCAAATTAACATTAAACTAACTAAAACAGAAAACTGCTTTAAAGCCTTCCAACATACTTTGAAGTAAACTATAATGTTCAAATTACTGTACCACATGTGTAAGCTACTTACTAGACTCCAGATGAATACACTGCTTGCATTCCCTGGTAGACCTTGATGTAAGGACAGCACACTATATATAAAAAAAGGACAAAGTGTTTTCAAAATGTTAGTCACAGGTTCCTTCTTATCAAGACCTCGAGAAACCAGTTAGCTAAAATATTCAGGAGACGCTTCCTGGCTTGTTTTGCTCACAGCTGAAGTGTGATAAGCTGCTGCTGTGAGAAAGGGATTTGAGCTCCACGATGTGATGAAAACCTTTTTGTTGTTTCAGCAAAATTAGTGAAAACAGCATTTACGTGTACACACGAAAATGCGCATGTGTGTGTTCCCATGGTTTCACTTGGAACTGGGAAGTTCATTTCTTCAGTTCTGTTTATGTAAACAACCTCTATCTGTTTGAGCATGCTTGTGAGAGTTGGAAAAAGAGAGACACGGTTCCAATCAGACTCCACTTTTGTTTACCCCTCGAACTCTGATGTGGCTGTCTCCGAATTCCTTTCTTTGTGCCATGCTAGAAGTGATGGTATTTTCTTTGAAACTATATACAGTGATAAACAATATGCATTTAACCTCTTGCGGAGTTGAAATCTGGAATCCCATGAAGGATGACGCAGTGCATGAACAAGGGGGAGGCGTTGATCTTCATGGATCCGCTTAGCAGGCTGTTGAGGATCCAAACATACCTGAGAGGAAAGCGGAGGTGGATATCAACATTACACAAGACTTTGTATTGCTTCAGTGATTTAGTATTACATATTCAATGTGAAGGGGGACTGAAAAGTGAGATATAAAAAGAACAATGTCATTGTTCATTGAAGCCAAGATATCCTGTCGTTTAGCCACTACTGTCAGTCTCCAAATGTTGGCTCATTCAACACCCATAATGCAACTTGATAATATCTTTTCATTACATTGACCTTGCCTAGTAAATACCCCTGATTCTATTACAGACCTTTCTGTAAAAAAATATGTATTTTTCACAGGTAAAGTGATATCGCTAAGATATTTTTTCCAAACCTGACAGCACTTCAGCATTTTGGAAAAACAGGCTTATTTGCTTTTTTTTGCAAAGGGAAAAATGGCACATCAGCTTTGCTTATGCTAAATATGTGGGAAAAAAAATAAAACGGCCAACACGACTCTGTTGAAATAAATCAGAATCTGCTGTCTAGCATCTCTAGAAAACAGTAACTGTCATCATTACTGTTTATCACTGATAAGCACAGAGACTAGACAGAAATGATAAACCAGTTTTGCCCAAGAGCCATGAGTGCGAGCGAGATATGTAGGTTTAAGATCACATCAGGTTACCATGGGATCCTATTAAAATGATAAACAATGACTAGCTGTCAGCTCAAAAAGTAAACAAGCAGCATGGGGACTGAATGAATTGTATGGTATCAGCTGGGTCTGGGATCTGATTGTTTGGATGGAGACGTGGGTCAATGAGGAGCCAAACACACTGCTAGAGCTCTATTACCAAACAGAAGGGCGTGCTTATGTTTTGGGTCTTACCGCTTCTGTGAAGGTGTCATCAGAGCTGAGACCTTATCATCGTAGTATTTCCTCATGGCGAAGCGGTCCAACGCCTGGTCAGCACTTTGACAGAAAGAGAGAGACACGTAAAACGCTTTAGGTAATTATGACTCAAGAGAAAGATTATACTCTCCTCTATAATTGAATAGTGTGGACTGTAACATCCAATTAAGGAAATGCATACATACACAGAGACACACACACACACATGCATGCATACATGCATAGACAAGAGGGAAAGTAACCAGAGAAACAGAGGATTCCAACAGAGAGGAAGGGAATGCCAGCTTTAAGTAAACACAGAGGGGGAGAGGAGGACACAGAGAGGCCAGAGTGTGTGCGCAGCTTGGCTATTCAGACAGACCTAAAACCAACAGGCTCTGGAGCCCTTTCACCAAAGCTCTGTTACTGTCATCGGCCATCTCGCTCATCTCCTCCCCCCCACCCCGGAATCTATTCCTTTGTAAATCTGTCCCATTGTGTTTTCCTATCTCTTTCTCTACCTCTCTTTTGCCCCCTGTCTTTCACATTCACCTTACTGCAATGGTATTCCTCAGTGGGAAGTGGGAAAGAAAAGTGCTAAGAAATGCACAAACTGTCTGAATTAAGAGCCAATATATGGCCATGCCACAATGTCTGCTGTGTGCAGAAAGAATCTATGCAATGCCATATCAGCAGATCGTGTCAATAACAGCTCTTACTTAAACCTTCGGCACTTCCGAATTTGCTTGCTTGGTCAGAAAATTATAATCCGTTTTCTTCATGATACATTGAAACTGACACTGTGGCTAGAAGGCATTTAAGTAACTAACATGTTTCTAAGTTGATTCACGCAATTCAATACGGGGTGATTCATTGCTTAAATTGTGTGGCTTTTCTTTGAATCGGAGAGAAGTGACTTTTCTTTTGACTCACTTTCTGATTCACCTTAACCAGAAATTAAAGGAGGTGAATAAACCCCTGGTGGTTGGTTTGACATTGCTTATCGTCTACAAAAACACAACATATCAAGTCTTCGTGAACTGTTGTGGTTTGTTGTTCATACTGCTTCACTACCAGAAGTGAGCGGTCGCACATAGCATGACGAACCATGACTTCAGAGCAAAAAGAAAAAAACATCATTTATAGTAACAAAACATGAGAAGTGTGTTGGTTACCTGGCTGACACGTCAGTGAAATGCACAAACGATGAGATGACGACGCCAATTCGACCCTTGCCACCCTAAAAAAAACCCCACACAAAACAAAAAAAACAGGAGATGATTCACTACACACGCAGCAGCAGCAGTCTTACTAAAAATGAAACCAAAGCCAAAAGGCCCCCCACAGTCTTCATAAACACAAGTTCCAGCCAAACGAACAGTATTGTCCAAAAGTCATGAGTCACCTCTCATTTCTTTTATATTTTGCTTCCACTGAGCCAGACTCTTTTTTTTTTTTGTAAAGATTAAATGTTGTTTTTAAGATAAAATGTTTTAAGGTAGTCTTGAGCAACATTTCTCCAGGCTTTCTGGAGGTCTTTCAAAGCTTTCCTTTGGCTATTTGCTGCTTATTCATTTTCAGTCCAGTCATCCAGTCCGTCTACTTAGCTATTTTCAGATCAATGTTTTTTGTTTGTTTGCCAACCCATTTAACACTGACCTAAGAATCATTCAAGTGTAAAAATATACCAACTTAAGGGGTGAACCAGTGTAGTGTCTACACATATAAGACAACTTAGCAAAGATCTTTATCTTTAAATACTTTATTATTAGCAAACTGCCAGGGATAACACAGTTATATATACATTAATAGTGTTTACACATATAAGAAACATCTATTGTTTGTCAAATCCTCATCAGAAATGGTCTCTGTGGATGAAAGGTGGCAGTCAAGAAGCCCTTCTTAATTAAGGCAAACAGAGAAAAAAGGCTGAGGTATGCCAAATTGCACAACAACCTAACAGAAAATGAGGGGCAAATTTGAGATTTTTAGTTTCATCTGTTGTACGGAGGTGGCCAAACTGCTGTAGAGTGAGTGTTTACAGCAATCTATGAGGCACGGCGGAGGTATTTTCAGGGTGTGAGGCTCTATTTCAGCCAATAGTATTGGGGATCTTATCAAAATTGATGAAATTATGACTGCAGAAAAATACCATCAGATTTTGATTCATCAGATTTTGATCAATTATCTAATACCATCTGGAAAGCATCTGATTATGCTTTACTGCACTGTAAATGCAGTAAAACCATACCTGGATAGAAAAATACAACATGGAGCACTATCAGTCATGGAGTCACTTCCCCAGAACCCCGACCTCAATATTACTGAAACAGTTTGGGATCATCTTGATCGAGAACATCCAAAAATGAACTTTGACCTTTGTCCTTCAAGATGCCTGTAGAACTATTCCAGAGGACGAGTAATAGAAATTAGAAGAAATTTTCCCCAATTGAATTCTGGCTGTGTCAAAGCATAAAGGTGGCCGTAGCAACTTGCTGACATTCAAGTTTGGAAGAACTGCACAAACTCTGTTTTTTGTTTATTTGTTTGTCTATATATTGTATTTCCAAGCATTTTTGCACATATTCCAATAAATCACTGTTTTCCATTTTCCTAGCAAAACATTAAAATGAACAGGTGCCTTGAGACTTTTGCACCACACTGCAGAACCACATTGTTTATTTCACATAACTGTTTTCTGCTTATTTTGTGTTTTTCCTTTCTCGTTTCACTGGTTTGCACTTACCCAGATTCAGCAAACATGTAAAACCACATTCTCATGACAGCTGGTGGACTGTTCAGTAGACGTTAACCAAATCTGATCGAATCACACTTAGTCTTAAACTGTTCTATGTTTTACAATATTATATTTGTATAAAGGTTCTGTAGGTGCTCACCCTGCAGTGTATAACAACCACATGTAGCGGATCAGCATTAAGCCAGCTCTCCATGGCCTTACAAATGGTGCAGATCTTATCCAAAGGTGGAGCATGCAGGTCAGGCCAACCTGTATCCAGGGTCTAAAAACAACACCATTAGACACACACACACTCACTATCTCTCACAACCACAAGACTCTATGCTTTACAAATCAATAATATCTTGCTCACATTAGCTCACTAGCCTGAGTTAATCAAGTAGACTGACAGAGGTGTACAGTTGCGCTATTTGAAGTAAATGCCAGATGCCTTACCTTTGGGTTCATTCTAGAGAGATCTTGTCTTTTCTCTGACAGGTTGATGATCTAAAGAAAACATAACACAACAAAGCACAAGTCTTAAAATGTTGTCTCTAAGATTTCTACATTCTTCCTTAACAAGAGTTCTTACAAATGCATGAAATCACTCTGAGATCAAGTCAACATTACATCAAAGCCCACCACCTTTCAACACTTTCAACACAGTTACAGCACTTTTCCAGGGGAGAGCAGCAAATGGACCAACACTGACCAGGTAATTGTCTGCATGCTTGGACTTGAGCATACGCGTGACATCCTTCAGGTTGTGTGAGTAGATCTCCTCGGAGCACCCCCGGGGG